TGAGAGCTAAAAATCACAGTAGTGCCTTCACGCTAAAATGCTTGAGGTTCAGTTCTGGGGCCTTTGCATGTTTTGCAACATGTACTGTTTCTCTTCCTCTCTTCTTTCTCATCACCGTCTCTTAACATCACAGCGCATTAAAGCAGAGAAGGCCGAAATCACGAGGTTCTTCCAGAAACCAAAGACTCCACAGGCCCCCAAGGTGAGCAGCCGGCTGCCTTTGCTTTCGGGTTTCAGCTCTGTTCGACTTTTCCTTTCTGAAAATGAAAGGGTCTCTCCCCAGCCAGCTCCTCTCATGAGCGTGGGAGCCTCCGGTGACCTCGGGCACTTCTATTTCTAGTAAAGTCTTGAGGCTCAATATTTTGTCCTTCGCCTTGTCCCAAGGAGGTAAAAAGTGGCGTGTCTGATTAAACAGTGCTGTTTTCAGAAGTTACTTCATGAATAATTTTGTTATGCGTAAGAGAAATTCACTATGTTTTTACCCGTGGGAAACTTACGCTTAAGGGAGCAAGATTAGCTGTAAAACAACAGTAGAATTCACAGAGGTTTACTTTCCCTGCCTGGCATCGGTCACCTGGCATCTCAGACCTTCTGAGCCACCATCTGTGCATGGAAACCGCAGCCTCCTTTCCTTTTAACCCATCTCCAATGTCAGGTTCTTCAGTGCCTTTCCCTGCTCCACTCACTGTGTTTATACACGTGTACTTAGCCACCTCAGATTTGTGCCACGTTGCCACATTTAGATGTATTTCATTCTTTTTAATATATCTGGCCTTTATTTTTTGAAGCAGGCTCTCACACTGTCACCCAGGCTGGAGTGTAGTGGCACAATCATAGCTCACCACAGCTTTGACCTCTCAGGCTCAGGTGATCCTGTCACCTCTGCCTTCCGAGTAGCTGGGACTATAGGCACATGCCACCACGCCTGGCTAATTTTTTAATTTTTTTTTTGAGATGGAGTCTCACTCTGTTGCCCAGTATGGAGTACAGTGGTGCGATCTCAGCTCACTGCAACATCTGCCTCCTGGGTTCCAGTGATTCTCCTGCCTCAGCCTCCCAGGTAGCTGGGATTACAGGCGCATGCTATCACACCTGGCTAATTTTTGTATTTTTAGTATAGACGGGGTTTTACCATGTTGGCTAGGCTGGTCTTGAACTCCTGACCTCAGGTGATCCGACCACCTCGGCTCCCGAAGTGCTGGGATTACAGGCGTGAGCCACCATGCCCGGCCTAATTTTTTAATTTTTTGTAGAGACTGGGTTTTGCTGTGTTGTCCAGGCTGGTCTCGACAGCCTGACCTCAAATGATCCTCCAAGCCTCGGCCTCTCAAAGTGCTTGGATTATAGGCATGACTCCCAGCACCTGGCCTGTCCTTTGTATCTTGAAGCATTTGACAACAATTGCATATCTTGAAGATGCACAGTGTGACATTGTTGTACCCACACATCCTGTCGTGACAGCCAGAGATCCACATCATGTATTTTCACTGCCGCATAATACTTCATAATGCAATGATATGGTTTATGGTTTCTCTCTTTTTTTACAAAAATTATTTATTTATTCAGAGACGGAGTCTTGCCCTGTCACCCAGGCTGGAGTGCAGTGGTGCCATCTTTCGGCTCACTGCAACTTTTGTCTCCCGGGTTCAAGCAATTCTACCTTAGCCTCTTGAGTAGCTGGAATTACAGGTGCTCGCCACCATGCCTGGCTAATTTTTTGTGTTTTTAGTAGCAACGGGGTTTGGTCAGGCTGGTCTTGAACTCCTGACCTTAGATGATCCACCCATCTCAGCCTCCCTGATTTTATTTTTAGTAGAGACTGGGTCTCACTGTGTTGCCAGGGCTGGTCTCGACCTCCTGGGCTCAAGCAATTCTCTCGCTTTGGTCACCCAACGTGCTAGGATCACAGGCGTGAGCCACAGAGCCTGCCACTATCTCAGCCTCTATGCCCCTCGGTGGTGCAGTGGGGGTCCCTGCACATGCTTCTCTGCACACATGCATTCCTAAGCATGAGTTTGCCTCTAGGACAAAATAGCACATTGCTGAAGTGTCATGAGCCATGGCCAGAGTGCCCGCCAGACGGGAAACTTGGATGCACATTCCCGGCAATACGTGGAAATCTCCCCATTTTCTGCTATCACTCCATGGGGATTAATTTTCCTTTAACTGCCAGTCTGATGGATTACACAAAAAATTGATACTTTTTTACTTTCCATTTTTACTTGACTCTTGGTGCAGTTGAGCATCTTTTTCTGTTCGTTTGCCATTTTAGTTCTTCTATGACTTGCCAATTCCTTTTTT